GAAATAGCTTCGTCAAAAAGAACTCCGGCTGGGCCTCGAAACGTTAAGTGCCGATTGGGAAGAGCAAGACTTTTGAGTGCTTCACAATCTCTACTTGCTAGGTGCTTACTTACATATGTTCAGGTGAGCCTCCCAGGATCTCGGGCTGTCGAATGATGCCAAGTTCGACCCCCATCCTTTCGGCTTGCCTGCGGCCCAGTCATTTAGGCCGAGCAAACACAGGAGGACCTGGGGTGCCGACGGGATTCACAACGTCATGCTGGATCTCTCAAATGCTGAAGCCGTTGGAGGGGAGCTCCCGAAGATATATGAGTTGCATGAAGTCTCATAGGGGCCTACAACGCAGACCGATGGGCCACTTTTAAGGTGAAGTAATCATGCAGTTAGAAAGCTAGCGTTAAGAATTTCAGTATGTAAAATGCAAGAATGCCTGTTCACAAGAAGGAGAGATGAAATCCCACGTCAATTTTGACAGAAAGACCACCAAACGTTAGGATGCAGGAACTTGGCTTCGAAGACACGGCCTGGCGTAGCGGCAGTCAGTTATGGTCAAAATGACTACGCTGATCTGACCTATCTTAATTAGCCATGGAAGGCAGACTTATTCAAAGCCAAGGGCAACTACTTTACGGCCATGAGGAAACCCTTCCCGAATTATCCCACGATACCGCCGTCGATATGACGCAGCCTACAGTTAGTTATTTGCCCCTTTCGGCTTGATCTAGAGTTTATTGTTGGGAATATCCTGGCGCCATAGCCGTCCCTGAGAAGCAAAATGTGCGGCGAGACCCTGTATAAGTCTGTGGAATTTAATAACTTCCTTTACTTTTCTGACGTCAAGAGGCAAAAATCAGCGAAAAGGGGGGACAGTTCAGGTGTGGTTTGCCGAAAGCGCTGCAGTGAAGGCGACGAGACAATGATAAGATTTTCCGTCAACTCGCAGCAGTAGCAGAAATTGGGCAAATTAAGCCTATACGGTGCCGCAAAAAGACAAGCTGTCTGATAAATTGAATTGTGAGTGCGTGAGTTAACGGCACGCGTCCGCACCCTGAAACAGCAGTTTAGGGAACAGGGAATGATCGGTTGGTCGACTTCACGCCAATTCATAAAAATCATCTTAGGCAAAAATGAACTGTCACGTCATAAGGCTCCTCGGTTTCACCGATTACCATGGCGTAAGGTGAGAGGTAGAGAAGACAAAAGGCGAGAAACATCCCCTTGCTGACTAGTTGCACGCGCTTTAAAGCTAACGAAAACGCTTGTAACATTTACTCTAATGAACGTCGACTCAAACCAGAGTGGATAAGAGCATAGGTAGTAAAATGTGTAACGAAGGGGCTGGTTGAAAATGCTTTGTAAAAACAAAAAATTGCTAAATATTCGCCACCGGTTATTATAAGTAAGGAATAAAGAACTATTAAGTATCTCCCATTTTCCCTAGTGTTTATGCTCAGCGATGTAATCAAATGCGAGCGCCAAACGTGAGATGAATACGTACTTCCTTTCAGAACTATGCTCCCGGCCTTCTATTTGATAGGCGTGCATTAGTCTTTTGTCCTCGTAGTTAAACGAAGCAGTAATCGCAGAAGTTCGTGTCTCTGGGCGCAGGTTGCGGCTAGATTATGACTGACCAAACGAGGATAGTATTCGCCAGAAGCGGTTGTCATCTCTGCCGTGGACGATATTGTTCGTTTGGGTACTATTCGGCCTATTGGCTTGTTGGATGTTTTTGGTCCTTTTTGCTCAGTAAGATTAGCTGTAGCACACATTGCCGATGTTAACCGTTATTAAAAATTGTATGCTTCTTAAAGGTGAATAAATGTGTAAAAGGCAAGGTACCAGCAATCATCTTTTGCACAAATATTTATTATAAGATTTATCCACTCAACTTACCTCTTTTCATACTTACGGGATCCTTGCTATCTTGGTCGTAATGCATTGTATCCTTTACATTAGTCTGAAACCAATACTTCAGACATATTAATATTTCGCACTGACCCCCCCTACCGTGTGTTCAAGAGACAACTGGATACTCACCTGCTGAAAGGCAACCCAAATTTCCGAAGCTGCCCTAGCGATTACCGAAATGACTATGATTATACTACTAGCTTTATTTCAACAGATCCTTTTTAGGCGTTAAAACTGGCCCATATGGAAATTTTCACAGGTCGAATGCGGTGAACAAAGATTTGCGCAATTATTTCGCAAATGCCATACCCTTTTCGCATTTATGTTCCATTATTAGATTTATGCATTCTGCTTACTAAAACTGTATGAAAGATTTTTGCAACTTAACTATTTTTTCTTACCCTCTAAATGGAGTTTTCAGGACTTCTGTCGTTTACTTCGAATACTGATTGACTGACCGACCCAACTGTGAAAAACTCGGCGCCTTGGTAGGATACAAACCCACGACAGCAAAGGGAAGGCTTTAATACGGCCACCGCTCTAGCCACCTGAGCTACAAAGCCCCACCGGGTTAAATTGCCCGCCCAACCTACTGCAACCTCCGGAATCCACCAAACTGATACACTAAGCTGACTGCCCAAGCAGGATTTCCCACGTAATCCACCGAGAACCCACCAGAAGACTACCAGGCCCAAGTAATTCACAGATATTTTGGCAGAATTATTCAAAATCTGCCAAAAAATCCATAAATTAATATTAGTTACAGACCTGTTCTGCATATAAAGAGCTTGATAATAAAATGTACTTCCTCGGTTAAAAATGTAAGTTCGCGGCCTAAGTGTTCAGATAATGAAGTACTCGCATATTAATATAACGTACTTACATCGTCAGATAATAACAGAATACACCCATTCAGTGTTTCTTATGGTTACTTTTGTGTAGGGGTGTCCACTTAAGCGTCGCATCGTATGGGTGTGTTAGGTTGCATCATGCAGGTAGTGACTGCTCCGCTCAGTCCTTAACTGGTCCCCAACTCTCATTTGAGGCTCCCGGAAGCCCAGCTCTGCCTAGCGGCTTCATCGTGGGAACTGCCTTGATCGGTAGACTAAATCAGATGAGAGTATCCAATGTTGTGTGTCCCCACACACGGTAACTCTGCTTCCTTTCCCATTTCCCTCCATTCCCTCCTCTCCGAAAAGGCCTACAGAGAGGACGGCATGCAATCTCGTAGATGGCTCAGGTTAACTGGGGTCGCTCTTCCGCTAAACAAAGTCGTGACCTATAGTGAAGTTATGTAACCGCCTGGGATGTCTAAGAATCCTCACTTAGAGTTAGTATTGCTTACGCTTTCACTGGGAATGGATTGGAAACGGTGCTCTAGATAAACGCAGGGACCACATCATCAGTAACTTAACCGTGGCTTATATACAAAAAATATACGGTCTGAGGAACATAATAATTCGAAACTCTCATCCCTTTCCCTCCGCTTCTGCTCATTCTGATAGCCAGTAACGTTTATTCTTTTTTTAAACAATCTGCGGGGCAACCTGCCGGAAAGGATGACGGCGCTAATTGCTCGAGAATTGACGCGTCACACGATGGACATCGCTGATCTCAGCGAGACCCTTTTTCCTTCTTGGTCAGCTGGAGGAGCTATGTGCTTGCTCTACCTTCTTTGGCGAGGCAAGTAAAAGGCAGGACGACATTACGTGGCATCGCTTATGCCATCGGGAACGGCACAGTCGGAACTGTTGCCCCGTCTGCCGCCATGCACCATTGACGTTCTCATGACCTTGTGCTCGCCTCTATGGAGAGCCAAATTCGCTAGCTTCTTTAGTGTCAACGTCCTCCCAGTGACCACCCCTGACGGGATGAGGAAAACGTGCTATGAAGACCTGCACGCCCTCAATGGCGACTGTGCTTAATGCAAACAAGCTGATTGTCCTTCACGACCCTAGTACCTACGTTGGGACAGATCATGTTGTCTGGAAGGGGTGTTGAATCCCCACAGAACCGGCTACTGCCACAATAACGGACTTCTTCTTCGAACATGCGAAGAACATCGTTTCTTCCTCTTCCTCCTTACCAACACATTCTTCCGCCCGCCGACGCGGATGAAGGCGATCTGGGTGCAATCCCGATCGCGGCGCTGGTAGATGCTGGACTACGTTCTTGTTCGGGGGCGAGACCGCAGAGAGGTACTATGGACAAGGACGATCTACGACTGTACGAATCTCCGCCACGACATGTTTAAGATGGGGCTCCGGCTGTAACCTCACAGAAAATCACAAGGTAAGCGGCCACAAGGCCTCTGAGATCGTTAGTCGCCCTCTCGCACCACTTAGGTTTGGAGTTCCACACAGACCGGAGGCCACCATATGGCGTCAGGTGATGAGACCAAAAGACCCACTACCACGGCAAGAAACATCTGGAGTCATTTGCCGTATGTGCTGCAGTTTCGGGCTAAGCAGCTACGTCAGAGAAACTGGAAGACTGCTTCGAACGCGAATCGCCGAACATGCGGCAGCAGTGGGAAGAAACTACGCCAACTCCCAGGTCGCGCCCATACGATGAGACCCGGTGAGCCAAGATATTCGAGCAATCTTCACGTCCGTATCCAACACGGGTGATGAGATTCCAGCAATTAACAAGTTGTGTGCCGGCCACCAAGCAATTAGCGCACCAGTGGGCAACAATCCTCAAATAAGGCGAGAACGATTAATTGTCATAGGTAAGTAGTAGCCTAGAGACTGCATCTTATAAATACTGCAACTTCCTGTGCAAGAATCACCCGTTTCTGTTACTGTCTCTGATGATGGGTTCGAGCGAGAATCCGAAACGTCAGGCAAATGAAGTTTATGTTTCAGCGATCGCTTTTACTTCTTATCAACTAGTTCCTGAACCTCACGCCTTCACTTGTGTATATGCAGTGATTTTATTTCCCTTAGACAGTCAGAACCGTGCAACAGCTCTCCAGCAGGAAAGCATCGCGATCCGACGAAGTTCTAGCGAACTCTACATGCGCGGTCGCTCCCTCCTGATGGGCAAACTGACACCACTGTTTCGGAATACTGGCAAACAGGCCAAGTCCTTTAGGGCATCAGGGACACACCACCATAGTACACATCCAACAACACAAGAGCAGCCGCCAGATCTGTGACAACCACAGAGGCATCCTGCTGCTTAACATTGCAGGGAAGATCTTCGCCCGCATCCTCCTCGACCGCCTCAACAGCCATCCGGAACAGGGATTTTTCTCGGAATGCCAATTTGGACTTCGACGGAAGCGCATCACAGGCGACATGGTCTTCGCAGCCTGGTAACGTAGGAAGAAGTGACGCGAAATGCACACCCGTTTGTACACCACCCTTGCGCATCTGGCAAAATCCTTCGACCTCATGGCCGGCGACAGTCTCAAGAGACTCATGCTGCAGTTCGGATGTTTGAAGCCCTTCACTGACCTGACGTGTTTCATAGAGTAGTGGACCTGAACAGTTGCAGGTCTTGTTGCGCACATTTAAACTTTTTCCAGGATGCTGAGGTCCTTAGCGGTTTTGAATCTTCACGCTTAGATAGAAAACTCCAGCTGTGGTCATAAAAACGCTCGAAAGACTTCACCGAAGCAAATATCTTGAAAGATAGAGAATTCCCGCTTTACAAGGTATCCAACAGTTATTGTTGACTTCGATACCTTGAAGCAGTTTAGCGATGATTTTTGGGGTTGATTAACCACTTCATCCCATTTATCGCTGGGTTGCATAGTTTAAGATCTCCGCTCAGCTGACTTCTGTGTAAGGACTTGAGTTTTTCTGATCTTTGGAATGTCAAAACGCATTGGATGCCATAAAGGCAAAAATAAGCGGCTCGTCTATATTATTGCACTTTGAGACTGACAAAGGCACCATTGTCCAGGCAGATGCATCTTACAATGGTTTAGACGGAATGCTACATCAGGAGAACGCAGATGGGAGAATCCAACCAATCATACATGCCGCCAGGTCACTGACGAAAGCAGAACGGAATTTTGACCAGACCGTAAAAGAGGCACTGGCCATAATCTTTTCTGTGCAGAGATCCCACCTGTTCATTTATGGCAGACCTTCCCCACAGCATACTGATCATTAACCGCTGAAATTCCTTTTGGGTACTAACCGTCGCGTAGCTAGAAGAGTAAAACGTTTGAGTACGATTCTTCAAAACTATGAGCTTACGGTCCAGTATGCGCCCACTCAGAAGGTCGGAGCTCCGGACGGCTTATCACGAATGAGCGCGGGGAACGAAAATCAATAAGATTTGGTGTTTGCCAGCACATTACTACAAGATGACAACGAGTTTAGAGCTGTCATCCGGCAATCGCCCCCAACAATCGAGCATATCAGGGCTACCACTGCAGCAGACACCGTCTTACACCAGGGGAAGAATTTACTCAGAACGATTGGCTCAGTGACGATAAATCACACCCATCGATAAAGCCCTTCAGGAACAGAAAGGAACAGTTGTATATCACGGAAAACTGCACAATTTGTGATGAGGAGGTGGTGATCCCAGCCAGATATTAACGACATATTTTGCTGGAGCTCCATGCCGGACATCATGGTATGACTCGCATGCAACCACTGACCCTTAAGTACGTATATTGACCCAGAATTGATAAACACGTAGATTCTTGCGTTCGGAGCCGCGGCCCGTGTGGACGTGAGACTAAGAACCCACCAAGACTACCGCCCGTGCCATGGACGTAAGTAACGAGACCTTGGGTAGAGTCCATATGGACTTCACGGGACCGTTCTTCAATCGACTGTTTCTAATAGTTGTTTATGTATGGCCAAAGTAACGAAAAGTTTTTGACGTCACGACAGCTACTGTTGATATCACAACAAGGAAGACGAAAGAACTCAAAGCGAGATATAGGACTTAATTTTCATCATCGCTTTTCCAACAACTGTGCCAGCAATGGGCGATCCGACATGTGACGTCGGCACCGTTCCATCCGCGATCCAATTTTCAGTCAGAACGTTTCGTCGACACTTTCAACAGAGCAATGAAAAAGATGTGAAACACTGGCATAAAACTAGAGTACCTCAAAACATTCCTTTCCGCCTATAGAACAATTCCAAAAAATCGAGGCCAAACACCAGCCGAGCGGTTTTTTGACCAACAGCCAATTATATGACTAGAGTACTTACAATCAGAAGTTCAACTTCCCCAAACGACAAAAACTATTTTCGTAAGGGAGAAGAGGTGTGTGTTCGCAAATACGACGCCGGAGAGAATCCCTAGACAGACGGTATAATAAGAAAATCCAAAGACGTTGTGTTTGAAGAAGAGAGGACAGGTGGGAAAACCCAGAGGCACGCTAACCAACTTAGGACTAGGTTCACTATAGACGGTCAATTTGCACTCGACATGCTGTGTGATACCTTTGGGGTTCCGATAGCCAAAGTAGACAGTTAGCCAATACTATCTTTTATCCGTAGAAGCAACAGAAGAACGCAATGGCCAAAGAAGCTGGTTTGGGACCCGAAGAAGAGGTGCGAGGTCCAACTTTCAAAAGCGAATGATGTTATTGAGAGCTCAAGTGGCATGGAGTCACGGCCTAAGGCCAAAGGAAGACTCGGCCACGCGCAAAACAGAGGACAAACCAGCAACGTGATAAACACGGGAAGTTAGACGGCCGACCGGCGTGTACTGCAGTGCAGAGCACGTGTGGTGACTTTGCTCACGTGTGCGGCCCAAGCAGTGGCTGGTCGAACATTCGGGACTCTTCCGCGGGAGGATTCTCACACACACGGTGGCCAATCCGCCACCGCACATGCTTAACGTCTGGCGCACCATTCGCCGGCATTTTCCAGAACGCACAGTGGCCAACATAAACAAGACGCCTTTCCGACTTATTGTAGCCCGTGTTCGCAGGCTGAGAACGAAGCGGTTATTTTTCCCAGAATGCGATTCCTCCTCTTCCGTCTATCCGTCGGGTTATAACGATGTCCGCGAGGAGTTCAGACAGTGTCAGGGACGTTCTAGAACTTTCTTAAAGGCTGGCACATCATTGGCCGGAATGTCCCAGAACGCGCATAAATAAATAAGGTGTCTTTTGACGAGTTATAACCCCTCTTGTTCGCAGGCTGTCAATAAAGTGCTTGTTCTCCGAACCGTCTCTCTTTCTGTCCCGCCTTACGTTCGGGCCATAGCAGATCGAGAACGAAAACAGGCCTTATACGCACATTAATCTCATTTGGTCATTTGTTTTCGAGTGTTCTTTTATATTTCTGCAGAAATTCTAATTCGAATTCAAGGGCACTGATGCGATAAGACCGAACACATTTGCCCATAATATTCTTATACCGGTTCAGGTTTTTTGCTTGATTGAAGGAAATTTAATTTTTCCGAACTTTGAACACTTAGGGGAAAGGTAAAATTCCCTTGGATCTGTGAATGATTTCACCAGTAAGCATATAAACGAGTGCATTAAGACGTTTACATTTATGGGAGGGTTGTTGGAAATATTAACTCTTGTCAGGAAAATTGCCAAAGATAATACAAATGGTCCAAATTCCAGCATAAGATCATTGTAGTTATAAAACAACTAGTTTAAGCGGTTAAGAGTGACCACTTACGCTTTTAAAGAGAGATTTATCTGAAAAATTCGCACACTGGATGATTTTTGTTTTCCTTTTTATGGGCAAGTGGCTAATTAACATTAGCAAGTCAAACTCAACAGCGCTTCTGTCAAAGATGATGACGGGATGGCGGCGAAAATTAAACGGTGCAATGGCATACATCGCTGAAGTCAGACAGAGTGCATAAAATTAGAGTTATTGGACTAGCGAGTCAACAAACAGGCGCCACATGGCGAAAACTAAAATAACAATTCAGCCTCTTATGATAAATCAAAAGGTTATTTTATAGATATTTATTTTGTCAAGCAAGCGTGTGACTTCCCCTATTGTGATGAGTATCTCGAGATCATTTGATCCCATTTATTTTAGCGATAGAAACTAAAATGTGTTCTGATCTTCTGGACGAATCACATATAAAACACTTCTTACTTACATTCAAGATGGAAAGCAAACGCTTAATCTGCGGTTTTGAATACATGTTTATTCAGTTTTTATAAAAAAAACTTGCAATTCGCACACCATCGATCAAACTAATACGGAAATCCAATGTAGACAAATTACAGCTAAGTTAGGCAAGGTTAGTTTAAGATTTTTTCAGGCAGTAAGCAAATTAGCAGCGCATGGAACTATAATATTTTGTCCTAATCTATTCTACTCAGCACTTAGTAGTTTAAGCAGTCTTCTTTGGTTTCAGGTAGGTTTCTCATGCAGGAGAACTCACTAAAGATTTGAGGTCTTTTAGAGCTCGACGCTGGTATTTGTATGCCATTGAATTTTTCGCGGGTCTTCAGAGTTATGTGACATCCAAGCAAGTTAAGACCGCTAACATGGACCTTTACCTTCGCAGCTTCTGGGCATTCTATAGTTTGCATCCCTCGGGTAATAGGTTTCCGGAGGCAATACGTTCGTGTGACAGCGGGCGGCCGCTCTAATGGTTAGGGGTTATTACCCTGCCAGCACATGGCCCCTTCATAGGCGGGGCTGGAAGGGGCTGGGTGGGGCCAGAGCCCCCTCTGCATTGAAGCATTTTTAAGCTTATTTGCATCGAAAGATATGTTTCAAAAGCACCACTTAATGTACCTTCTTTGGAATTAAAAGGGGCTAATTTATCAAACTTGGCTTATAAATCATGGATAAAGCATCCGTTTACGCCCACTGAATGTAGCTGCGGATGAGCACAATATATTTAGGATTTGTTTAAGTTCTTCATTGCATAAACTCTTATTTTTCCACCGGTTTACAATCTGTGTGTGTTATTAATTCATATATTTGACAATTGGGATGATATTTTAAAGTGGTGCCAAAAGTGGGCAGGGATGTGGCCTCACCTGCGCATTTTTTTTCGTTGGCGGGGCCAGGCGGGGCTATCGCGTTGCATGCCCCGCCACAGCCCCCTCCACAGCCCCGCCTAGCCCCCTCATGGCCCCCTCTAGCCCCGCCATTATTGAGGGGGCCAGGCGGGGCTAGGCGGGGCTGGTGCTGGCAGGGTTTATTGCCTCTCGGCCATTAAAGAACCTCTGCAGGCTGAGCTATGCCCTATCGTCTGAAACTCCCATATAAATGAAAAATAATACCACTGTCTTCGTCTCCATCCATTTAAGTTGTGAGAATATCATGCTAAACTAATTTCTGAGAGTGTTATCTAAGTTTCCGCATGATATAACGGAGGTATCGTCGGCATGGTAACTCTCAACCCCAGTCTGCAGAACAAGTAGATACCAACCTTATTTCCCGCAGATTCGTTTCTGCAACTTACC